ATAAATTATGGGTATGGTTCCCATAACGAGTATAGGATTAATGCCTACAATGATAATTTTATTATAGGAGCCATTCCCATAATTGTTGGAAAGATTCCTATAAATTTCTCTCCGTGTAGACAAGTTGTTCTTAATTACTTTGTTTACTTCAAACGTTTGCCACGAAGACAAAAGTTAAGTATAAAACCATCGGTCATTAAATCGAATCCGAAGTGATCGCTCATACAGGTAATAGAATCCATCAAATATTAGTGAATAACTACCATCTATCTAAAGTAATTATTTTTTATTTCCAACCTACGTTTTAACAATAATTTATTCTTCCATTGAGATATTATAAAAAAATTTTACTTTTTAGACTGATCCAAAATGAAAACAATATTTGAGACTTTAATACCGATAACAATACTGATCTCATTATGTTCTCTGGCTATGGCGTGTCCTTCTAGCCTTCCAGACCATCGATCTTTTTTAGCAAAGTTGCCAGATTCACAGAAGTTAAATACGCTTGGATTGATCGGTACCCATGATTCAGCAACATATAATATTTATATATTGGCTGCACAAACACAGTTGAAGACAATAACTGAACAATTAAATGGTGGTATACGCGTATTGGACATGCGAGTACGTCGAACTAACAATGTTTTTGCGATGCATCATGATCTAATCTACTTGGGAATGATGTTTGGTGATGTAGTGAAACAAGTAAGAGACTTTTTGAGAAGCTATCCTAACGAGTTGGTGATAATGTTCATGCAAGAGGAGTGCAATGCTGAAGGGAATACTATGAATGCGTGCGAAATTCTAGAAAACGAATACATTAAAGAGAATGGTGATCTCTTCGTTCAACATTGGTCAGTAGAAGATACTATCGGACAAGATCGTGGAAAAATTTTACTGGCCCGTGCTCATAGAGGCTTTTGGGGATGTACGACCAGTTTACTTTGTCAAGAACAGAATCAATGGGAAATAACTTCCAGTTTTACTCACACTGATAAATGGAATGCTATCGCTGCTTTTCAAGATAAAATCTTTGAAGAGAATTCCCAAAGCTTATGTTATATCAATTATTTGTCAGCTCACGGTGGTATCATTGGTCCTAATACTATAGCTAATGAGTTTTCGAAGGATACTAGAGAATTCCAGGGTACAGAAGGGAATCCGGGAATGAATAATCAAATGACTAAATATTTCCGTAATCCGAAAAATACTTTGTACATCGTTATGGCCGATAATCCACTTCCTCAACTAATGGACAAAATTGTGCTTAGCAATTTTTAGTGATTTAAAAATTACCTTTTATGCATGATTTATTATCGAAAATAAAACTGTTACTCATAATAAAATGAAAAAATTAAAAAAAAAAAAAAAAAAAAACTGAAAATTTTTTATTAATTTCATAGACTTGTAAATTTTGTCATCTTGAATTTAATTTTCTCGGATTTCCATAGTAATATTGTGGACATTTTTTTTTTCATATAGTCCAAAGATACAATGCACCTATAGTGAAATATGCATAAAATTAAATGGAAATTTTTCAGTGTATGAAGTTGTGACGGTTAAATTTTAGCATCTAATTTTCTGTCATACACAGAAAAAAAAAAACACTTGTAAATAATGTTGAAAAACTTCATCTCCTTGATGAGAATAGAAAAATTCTCAAGCTAATAAATTTTTCTTGGTTTAACAATTAATTTTTGAAATCATTAAATCAATTACACCTCTTAATAGCTTGATCATTAACCGACTGAAACTCCAATTACGTTAATACTGAAAATGGTTTTTAATTGTGTTCGATATTATCAAGTTTTAACTCAAACTAATTAAAGCTGATGAATCACGGTTAGTTCTATGACAAATATGTCGAAAACGCCTTGATGAATTTTTGTGATTCTCTATAGCAGACATATTCATTGATGAAAATAAATTGCTATTTTTTTATTTCTATTTACTCTTTGATGAAGAATATAACGAAAAAAGGAGTCCGAAGATTTATGTTCGTACAAGTTACTTAAAGTTTTCGACTATTGTATTTTAAGATATGGTAATATATTAGTATTTGTAAAAGTTAAACTTGAGACGGAGCAGTAAAAATTATTCGTCAATAGACTAAAAAGATAAAGATTCGAAATTTCATGTCAAAAAAATTTTGTGTTTTACTTGATCCGCTGATTCTACAGAATGTTTGTGTAAGAGAAAAAACGTAGGGGAGATAAACACATAGTTACACGTGTTAATACTTGACAGCAGTTATGATTTATGTCTGTATGAAATCAAATTTTAATTGAAATTTTTGAAAAATTTTCCTATTTAACAAGATTACAATTAAAGTTCTTTAAGAATTTTTATATACTTTAATAAAAAAGTGATGCTTCGTTCATAGTAACAGGTAAAGAGTTGAATTCAGCGACTGAGATATAAACTATCAAAATATACGACATTTGACACTATAGACGTGTTTTACATTTATAATCCCCAGACATTAAAATTTAATTTTTTTAATTACAATATTGATTATCGATTTCATATATAATATATTTACTACAAAATCTACCTTCCATCTCGCGTGTCCGAGATGAAACTATTCACTACATCGATTTGCAGTTTTCAAAGAATATACATAAATATATGTACGTTCTATGGTTTTTTGATTGAAGGGATAGCCACTGTGATGGATCAAAAAATTTTTTTTTATTTCAATTTAAACTTTATATTTTCGCGAATATATATATTGAACTTTAGGTCAAAATTTAAAAAATTGACTGAGTTACAGTTATTTTATTGGGAGTAGGTAAATCGACTGCCCGTGCTAGCGGAATCGATAACTCCAGCAATTATTAACCGATTTAAAATTTTTTTTTGGTTTTTTCATTTTTGCAGTGGCTAAAATTAAACGTAGTCGATTAAAAAAAAATTTCAATTTTTACTATTTTTAACACTGTTTGAAAACAAAAAAAATTAGGAAAACGGTTGACCCTGAAGACCATCCCTGCAACTTCCCGCCAATTCTATACCTAAACGCTTGAAATTGCACTTATGACGTTTTAGAGCTCTTCGAGCTCTTAAATACAATTTGTGTATTATTTTGAGCTCTCCGAGCTCAAAAAAATAGCTTTTGTATGCTTTTGAGCTCTTCGAGCTTGTTCGTTCAAAATACCAAAAAATCTTTCCAGAAAAAACGAAATTTTTACTGCAATATATTCTGAAAAGTATTTAAAACTTTTTGATGGTCTAGAAAGTAGCAAAAATCAGCAAATTTTCAGTTTTAACGGCGTTTTTAAAACAAGTCGATCATATCTAAAGGCAATATTACCGCAAATGTCAATTTTCGAAAAAAAAAATCTTAGAAAACGAAGATATGCATACTCTTCTAAAATAGTAAAGTTCTTCGTTAAAGTAAAATTTTCCTTTCTAACTTTCTGCTCATTTAAGAATTTAATTTTTTAAGGACGTTCCTAGATAAGAAAAAGACACCAATAGGTTATGGCTACTGGTTTCTTTCTCACGCACTAGCCTCTCTTTCTCACACAGCTGCCTCTCTTTACAGACTATCGCTCACTAACTTCCACTTATATAAAATATCGAAAGTCACTAACTTCAAACATTTTTTATAAAAAAATGAATATCGCTCGTTTATATTATTTTTTATGAAAAATACTTGTTATATCTTCAATTAATGATTCTCAGTTTTTTAAAACAATCCTGAGAAAAGTACGATTGATACTTAATAAAACGTTCACTTGAACGTCGGTCGGAATAGGGTTGTATGTAAAATATACAAATTTTAAATGCTAATATTTCAAAATTTAGTGCCGCAAGGACTATTTAAAAAAATTCTTACGTATAGAGGAAACTTATAAGTACTCAAAATTTCAAAAAAATTTTAAGAAAACAGTTTTTTCTCGGAACGTCCTTAATTTAAATGTTCGTTTCTTAATTTAAGAAAACAATATCCTGAAATTGAAAAATTTTGAAGAAAATATTTTTCTTGAATCAACATATTTAAGTCACTCTATCCCAAGCGTCACAGACAACTAATAAAAAATTAATAATTGTCAACTTAAATTCAACAAAATATTACCAAAAAAATTTTTGTGTCTCTTGGGATATGATGAGGTTTTGTCGTTAATTATTTTGAACCAATATTACCGCCTATCTTAATCTAAAGATAAATAAATATCATAATACTTTATCGTTTTACTGACTATATCATACACTCTTAAAGATGAGTAATTATCTCTAACTTTTTATTTTAAAATGAATTGCAGGACGGACTTTGAATGGCCAACCACTTCTGGAATTTCCAATGTCGAGTGGTGAACCAGCTTTGGAGCCTTTGAAAATAAAACGTGCAATCTTATGGGCAAGGGTAGAGTTGAAACATGTCCATCATTACCAACACCACCGAAGACAAATCAATCTGAGAAATATCACTTTATGGGTGTTCAAAGTTCGATGTGGTAACACAACTCATTTGCGTGGCAAGGTGAGATTTTAAAGTAACAATGAAAAAATATTCGACAAGCCAAGTTATCAAATAATTAAAATTTTTCATATGTTACAGGAATTGAGCGAACACTTGGAAATGGTGACATCATTAACCGTGAATGTAGGCCAATTGGGATGGCAAAAATTTGACGTTACAAAAATTGTAAACAGTTGGTATACGTCACATAAACATATAAAAGAAAGGCTGACACTTCTTGTGGATTGTACGGGTTGTAGTACTCACGTGCATATTTCCACTTTTAACGTTCAAGCGTCCCGCGTCGCTGGTTCGTCAATCGACTCAAAAAGTGAGTATATTAGTGCATTATTTATTATTTTTGCGTTAACACTATAAAAATATAAGATAACATAACAATTATGTGAATTTATTTCAGGTGCTCAAGATCCAGACCGTCCATTTTTAGTTGTACGAACCGATCCAGCTGCAATCAAACGAGTAAGAAGACGTGCTATAGAATGTAGCGGCGCATTAAAAGGACAGTGCTGCAAACAAAGGTTTTACGTCAGTTTTTCACAACTTGGCTGGGACGATTGGATAATAGCGCCTCAAGGGTATCTATCTTCAATTTTAATAATTAAAGTAATCGTCAATTTCCAAAAAATAACATCTTATTATGTAACTAAAACTTTTTACGGAGATTGCATACGTGGTGTGCGCACGATTATGACCATGCAAAAATTTATAGAAACAGTATTATGAATTGATATAAATTTTTTTAATCTTGTTTAAATATTTTGTATCAATTTCCGCTTTCTTTATCTCTCTTTGAATATTCAACGCGCGGTTTAAAGGAGATTTTCGAGTCTACACTGATAAAATAATGAACTTGATTCACGAGAAAAAATGTTGACCCAAAAAAATTATTTTGAATCAAACGAGAAATTCTTTGAGTGAGAAAATTTTTTTTTATTTGGTTCAAGAATTCTTCTGTTTAATTTAAGACAAAATAACTTTTTTAAAGTAAGTTATTGTTAGTTCAAAATGTTTTCTCTTGAATGGAGAAAGTTATTTTTTGTATCAGTATAGACGGTAAATTTTTGGCTTGATAAAAAAGAAAAAAAAAAGATTTTTCCTAGATAGTTATTGAAATCTTCAAAATTTAGAAAAAGTTGAACTAATTTTTCGAAAATAATTTCTCAACACGGTTGTAATAATATAAGTTAAAAATCAGAACGAACTTTCTGCCTATGACCTTTTATCGCTCTTATGAGATTTAAAATATAGTAAGAATAAAAATTTTCATATAAAAGTACAAATTTATAGAAAAAAAAAAAATAAAAATTACTTTTCTTTTAAATATTTGTCATTTTGCAAAAAAAAATTTATTGTCCGGAAGGGTTGAAATCATTTTACCACTCTGTAAATTTTTCGATTTTTTACATTAAAAATATTAATAAAAAAGTTTTGGGAAAAATCCAAAAGTGCACGCCTCATAACACTCATTCATTTTTTAAGAAAAAAATTAATTGTGTAATTGATTAAAAAAAAAAAAAAAAATTATAATTAAGTAATTTCTTACAAAGTATTTTTTATTTTTTTTTTAAATATCGACGCCCTTTCTTCTTGTCATGCGCGCACGCAGTCTAAAAAAATCTAGCTTGATCAAGTGGCGCCATAGTTTTCACGTGACAAATAAGGAAAGTTCGTTTAGCTTTGTACGGTTGTATCGTAGTAAATTTTAATAAAAATTCAATTTAAAAAAAAAATACGTAAGCTAGGCCACTGATATGCAATACGGACCCAGTTCATCGAATTCTTAAACTAATAAAAAAGATCCGGTCTTGAAATATCAATTTGTTCGGGAGTAATCGTTGGTACATCCAAAATGGGGTGACATCCAGACGTCCACGTAAAATTTTTTTCAAAACGTTTTTTTTTTCAAAATAGCAACATGAAATGATTTTAGAAAATAACAGATGGTTTAATTTAAGTGTTTTTTCGGTGTACATCTACTTATATCATTGTATAAGTATAATATGGTTGTGATAGAGGCATTTAAAGATCACAAAATTGCTTGATATCTTAACGAGTCGAGTATAAAGCACAACCTCACACGCTTCGCGCTATGAGGCGTGCAATAAAAAAAAAAATTATGTCTCGATTTATACGCTTTAAAAACTTCAAAATTTTGTGATCTAAATATGGAAAGAAAAAAATAATCCATTTTTTGCGCTGCCTTTATATATACTTTAGTAATATTTTTCTACTAGCGAGAACCGTACGCCATCTAGCGGTGAAACTAAGAACTAACTTCTAAAAATTCTTAATAGGCATAAAAATACTTAAAATTTTTTGCTTTTCTTTAGTAATTTCAGTGATTGTCAATAAATAATTATAATTACTTATTAATAAACAAGCGGGTAATTTATTTACATACTGGGAAAGAAAAGAAGGGCAAAAGTGGTTCCTCTCCTCCTTGGAGGGGCTTATTGTGTGTTTCTGAGAACGGCGAGCTTATCGACGGATCTGTCGCGGTAATGAGGTATCAGCCTGCAAATAAACGAACATATATGTATGTATGAGACTATGTATGAGCGGCAAGTGGAGGCGGGTGGTTACATTCAAATACTCACTTTGAAAAGGACAATTTGAGTTTTAAATTCAATAAAACGTTGAATAACAATTCTTGTAATCGTACTTTGATATTTATAGTCAATTACCAGCGACAGGAAAATTTAAAAAACTACCCCTGCGTACTATAGTAAAATAAATTTTTAAGAATTTGAGTATCCTATTATTCTAAATACGAAATGCAAAAAGGCAATAAGGTATGTAGATAAAAAATTCCACCAGCTCCCCCACGAATATCCCGGCATTATGTATTACATCCTCGCCACAACGGGAGGCCTGAGACGGTGGTCGCCGTCGCCCGTGTTGTATTTAAGCGAAGACGTGAGCTACCGCTTGATTCCTACCTTCAGATAACTCAATCCGAAATCCATGCACACACTACTACAACAATATAAACTATAAACTTACATGTTAAGAAAAAAAAAAATACGTAAACTAGGCTACTGATATGAAATGCGGACCCAGTTCATCGCAATCTTGAACTAATAATCAAAACCCCGTCTCGAAATATCAATTCGTTCGGGAGTAATCGTTGGTACAAAATGGGGTGACATCCGGACGTCCACGTAAAATTTTTTTTGAAACGTTTTTTTTTTCAAAATAACAACATGAAATGATTTTAAAAAGTGAAATATGGCTTAATTTAAGTGTTTTCTCGGTGTACATATACTTTAATTATTGTATAAGTGTAATATGGTTGTGATACAGGCATTTAAAGATCGCAAAATTGCTTGACATTAACGAGTCGAGTGTAAAGCACAACCTCACGCGCTTCGCGCTATGAGGCGTGCAATATCTAGTAAAAGAAAAAAATGGTATTCAAATAGATAATGATTCTGATATTGACGATTCAATAATTACTTGAAATCTTGTATTTATTTTATACAATAATATTAATAGTAATAGTCTTATTTTGTATTTACTTAAATATGATTATTGTTTTTAATAAAAAAATTTAGGTACTACGCAAACTACTGCAGAGGTGATTGTGCAGCTGGACATCGTACGCCTGACACATTTCTTAATTATTACACACACGTAATCGAGGAGTATAGGAAAATGGATAGACTGGCAGGAATGCAACCATGTTGCGCTCCTCTTAAATTTTCACCGATGTCATTGATATACTACGGTCCAGATTCAAACATTATCAAACGAGATTTACCTAAAATGGTAGTGGATGAATGTGGTTGTCCTTAATAAATAAACAACCGTTAATAAAATAAGTTTAAACTAATTTATATCAACAAATTCAAATAATTCGTATAAAACAAAGCATTAATAAACAAAATAACGCTTATTGAGCTAATTTATTAAATTAATTAAATAATTATCGAGTATTATATATTAGAAAATGATTATTTATCTCGATTTGTTACCTTAAATGTTGATTTTTTCAAATGTTTGTTTTAATGTGCATATTAATTAAATTAAATTATTTATTATATATATTCAATGCATTGTGGACTTTAACGAGTTGAATGAATTTAAAAATCTAGTTAGGGTAATAAAATCGAATGTGCTAAATTTTTACTTGGCCATTACTTATATATAACTGATATAAAAGAGAAAAAACTATTAAGAGTGATTTCTGATATAAAAATCAAAACGTAAATTTAAAAAAAGACAATTAAGTTAATAATAATTATAATAATATTAATATTGATACCATTAATATTCAATAATAACGTTATTTATAACATATAATTCTTACGAAAGCTTAGCTCTTTTTTATTATTTGCAATATATATATTTATGTATATCAGAATGGTGCAAAATAATTGACTTTCGAGTTTTCCTTAAAAATATGTTAGTCCATCACATTATAAGCGCATGCAGCAAAAATAAGCTTAAATAAAAAAATCTTTTATTTTTAAAACTCAAAAATTAAGATCGTTATTCTACCATTTCAAGTGTTACAAATTATATACTGATAAAAAAGTTAACTTGACAAGAGAAAAAATTCTAAACTAAGAATATAATTTTGAAGAAAATGAGTTTCTTGATTCAAGAAAAAAAAATATTGAATCAAGAAATTATTTTCAATTTAAGGAAATTTTTCTTGATTCAATAATTTTTCCTCTTGACTCAAGAAAACTATATTTTCTTCAAAATGGTATTCTTGGTTCGAAATTTTTTTCTCTTTGGTCAAGTCAACTTTTTCATCAGTTTATGTATTCTAAAATTTTTAAGTCAATTCTTTTTGGATAAAAAAATCTACCGTGATAAAAATATAAATTTTTAGGGCATTTGCAAGGGTAAGTATAGGTGAATGCAATAAAAAAAATTCACTTAAACTATAAGATATTACTCACCTAGGGAAGGAGAGTAAAAAATATCTCAGATCACATGCAATTGTAGGCCGAGACGAAGCCGAGGTCGACGAACGTATGATCTGAGACATTTCTTACTTTCCTGCCCTAGGTGTGTAAATATACTATTTTTTTTTTAAGAGCTCTCTGCTTGATTCAATATAACCAAGTTCTTCAATATGATCTTCTTGATTTGAAATTTTTCACTTGAATCAACTCAATATTGTTATTAACTGACATTTAAAAGATCTGCTTAAGATATGATCAACTAACGTATTATCATAGGAATTTCAAAAAAAAAAAGTAGTCGGTTTTTTGCACCACTCTAATATATAAACATGTAATTTATAATGGGCTCGCTCAAGTTTACTAAGTACTTAGCTGGACTGAGCTTAGATTAGTATACCTTGCATTGTTTTCTTATAGATATTCTTTAGAGAGAATGTAGTCACTTTTAGTTTTTAATACAAGATCTGGCAAAAGCTTAGTAAACTTGAATGAGCCTAATGTATACAATTGACTATATAAAACTTAATAATAATTAAAAAAAAAAAAACAACAATAAAATGTCGTAATTTACATTTTAATACGCAGTGTAGTTAATTAAAGTGATTGATCAAAAAATAATTTATAATTACTAAGTAATTAATAATTGTAAACAAATGAAACTCAATCTACTTGCCTTGTTTTTTATGTAAACAAAAAAAGGAAACCAAACTAATGAAAGTATTGAGATTTAAGTGACTACTTACGGTAATACAAATGAAAGTATTAATCAAATAAAAATTACCATTAGTATATATAATCGTCATAATAATGATAATGATAATGAAGATATAATTAAGATAATGATAATGATAAATATAATAAAACGATAATAATAGTGTTGAAGTTTAAATCATTATGATTAATGATCAATTACAAAAATACCTATAAGTCATAATTCCAGATAATAATAATAATAATAATAATAATAATAATAATAATAATAATAATATTAGGAATAATACAACCACTAATTATAACAATAGTATTATAAAAATCTAAAATTAATTACTCGATTTATAATTAAAAGTCTCTTAAATGTATATAATAAACATAAAAAAACGTAAATATACAGAAAAAAGTATGAAGTTGAAGCACGTATTATCGTGATAAATAATAATAACAATAACAATAATATTAATATTAATAATAATAACAAATTTTTTTTATACTTTTATTTAGGTTTGCGTGCGTGAATTGCATTTTTATGTAATTTAAAAAAAATAAACAAAAACCGTAATTAAATAAATGAGTAAAACTAGCGGAAAGAAGATAGATGAGGAAAGAATGAAAGTACGTGATGAAGGTGATGTTTAAATAAAAGTAAATAAGTTAAAAACAAAATTTAACAAGTTTAATAAAATGTAATTAAATATGAGGTTTTATAAAAGAGATTTTGGTGAGTATGGGGTTGGAATGAGATTTAAACTAAAAGTAGGAAATGTGTTTAATGTAAATTTTGAAAATTTTACAAGTTTGTTGAATCACCGCTATGAGTCTCTCGATAAAAGATACAATAAATAATTAATAATAAAATTCTAAATTTTATTAAATTTTCATTTATATTTGTGAATAAGAGAAAAAAGTGAAATTAAACGTTACAATGTTAAATATTTATATTTGGACGTTTCATAAGCTTAAATTTAAATTTAAATAGAGTGAAAAATTATCTTTAATCTAAATTGTAGTTAAAAAAATATGTTTGATAAAAAAAAGTTTAAATTTTGAAGTTTGATTAAGAGTTGATTAGACAATTGAACAGAAAAATAAAAATTTAATAAAATACGTGACAATAAATAAAGTATTTGTAGGTGACAAAGCGTCTTTATAAATTTAAAATCATTATTTATTTTATATTTCTAAGGTTTTTCAAAGGAAAAAGAAATAAGCTTTGAAATTGGTGCAATTTAATGGAATTTTCTTAGTGTAATAAACTTTTTTGAGATAAAATGTGGGTTGAATAAGAAAAATTGAGGACATTTGGAAATACCTTGAAATTAAGTTGTGATTTTCAAGAGACTTTATAACAAAAGCGGATAAATATGATATATAATATACAATTTATTGTGGGATAAAAGTAATTGTGATTAGAGAAGCTTAATAAATAGAGAAAGAAAATGAATGATGAGTATAAAAAAAACAGAAAAAAAGTGATATCCCACTTAGCCTTACTGGGCCTTATTATTACGTAACTTTTGCATTAAATATTAAAATAATTACGAAAAAAGTTTAATGAACAATTACGCAAATTGACCATCCGAATAGTTTTAAAGGAAGTGAAGATAATATTTAAAAGAACGTTTAAATGTTTATAAAACAACATGACACTTCATATTTCATGTCAACTTGCAAGTTTTTTGGAATTTAGATTTATATATTTTTTTTTTCCATTTTAGAAGAAGAATATGCTTTTGCTTTAAATTTTAATATGTAATAATATTCATATTATTTTATTAAGTTACAAATTTTATTTATTCAATCTTAATAATTAAGAACGAATTTTTTGTGAAAAAATTTTTTAATAAATTTTTTTTCATTAACTTTATTTATTTCTTCTTTATTTCTTTATACTTTTAAGTTTTAAGAGTATTTTAAATGTATTAATAATCTTTTTTTTTTTCCATAAATCTATACTAATATTATAAAGAGGAAAGATTTTATTGTTTGCTTGTTTGCATTGAATAAGCTCCGAAATTACTGAACCGATTTGAAAAATTCTTTCACTTTTGGGAAGCTGCACTATCCCCGGTTAACATAGGCTACATTATATTTTAAAATTTTTGTTAAGTACCCGTATGAAGCCGGGGCGGGCGGCTAGTCATTTATAAAGTGATTTTTAAATATTATTGCACAATTTTAATTTTAATATTTTACTTTTTTTATTGAGATATTTTACGCATTTAAGATTTTCAAAAAATTGATTTCTTATATTTTATTTTTCTTCTCTACGTATACTTAAGTAACAAATATTTTCTAAACACTTGAATGCAAAAATTTTCATAAAAAAAATCGATATTTTTTTTTTTTGAGAAGCCGCAATTTTATCAAAAATTAATATTTTTTAATTACTCGGATTAAATACTAGATAATAATTTGTATTAACCGAGTTTTTTAGTTTATTTACTTTGGAGAATCCAATCCGATATTAACGTGTTTACTTTGCAACGTCTTTTTTTTTGAGGACCTTCCGGAAATTTATTAGCTACAGCAGTTTCATAAATTATGATTTTGCAATGAAAAAATTTTTCAAATATAATTTAAAGTTATCACAATGTAACTATACATTTTCACATTTATAAACTCAAAAATTTTACCAGGAAAAATTCTGAAAAAAAAAATTTTTTTTTATCCTCCTAAGTGCGTATAACCCTTTGAATATAATTAAATAAAAAATTGTAAGCTGATGTGAAATGATTTATATACTTACACTTATACTGAACTATTTTTTTTGTAATAAATTATTAATAAAAGATCAATTAATTAAGTAAAAGCTCTCTGTAGAGGCTTTCACCATGTTTCAACTAGCCAAAATAAAATAAAAAAAACTATTGCGTCCAATTTAAAAATAAAAAAATAAAATAAATTAAACAATTTGCGCGTACATTCTAGTAAAACTAAGAAATGATTTAGATAAGTATTTAAGAATTAATATAAAAGAGAAATTTAAAGTAAAGAAAAAAAAAATGAAAAATAAATTATTAATAAAATGAATAACAAAAAAAAATGTAAGTGGTTACAATTTCAGAGCATGGCAATAATAAGTATGATAATAAAATTTAATGAGATGCAATAAGTTAAGTATAAAGATGGTGTGAACAACACAAAAAGCCTTTTGGAGCTCAA